AGGGTGTGGACAGCCGGGAAGTCAAAATCACATTTCTTTCCTAAAATTCCGTCATAAATACACATAGATGACAAGCGCCTAAACATAAACTGAAACAGCGCCAACAGATTATTTCCAAATCATAAGTTTTAAAACAATATATATCACACAAGTTATCAATTTCATTGTATGTAAATATTATTTTTTTTGTTAGGCGCCATACAAATGTAAATATCAGATCTATTTTCTTTAACAAGAATCAGATATGTTCTTTTTAAAAATTGTTTAACAACTACTGTTGATTGAAATGAACATGTAACTTTGTTTTATCATATCACATAATAGTCAATTTAAAAGTGGTTTCTTTTTTGCATTGTCAACGTTTCAATTGATCTGTTTCATTTGTCTCAAAAAAGGTACAATATTTCATCAAAAGGCATACAATCTTGATGAAAATTACCTGTTGATTGATTTGGTTAACGATGTAAATAATTATCAAGTTTTATCTATTCAAAAGCATTTCCTTTAATGCATTTTTGACGCAATAGAACAGCAGTAATAATAAATGAGAAATACTAAATTAAGATAGCTGTTCATTAAGCACTTGCCTAGATAACATTATCTCATGATGAAAATGTCATAGATTAGGGTAGAAAGCAGATTAGTGGAGTATCCAATTAAAAACGAAAACATTACATTGAACACTCTATTTGCACACCATCTGGAAGTCGCCATATCCAACACTCCATCCTTCTTCCATTCCTGTTGTTGCTTCCTTTCCTTCCTGTTGGTACTTCATTTACTTGTTGCTTTTGCCCCATTTGCTTTCCGTTTTCCTCTTCTGACCGTGAGACTTCTTCTTTCACGTCCCTTTTTATACTACTTATATCGTTCGTATAAGTAGCACACACCACACCATGAGATTTGTGCCTTGTTTATTAAAGCTGAATAAAGTTAAAATCTTAAATCGTTCAGTTAGAAAATCTGACCATTTATCAAAAACCAACACATTCAAATCGATTTATTAATCTTAACTCTGTACATAAGTCCAGTGAGAAAATTTTTCTAGCTGTGTAACTTTTCAGGAGAGCTATCAAGAATATCAAAAACATCAAGCCTGAAGACAATATGAAGGAAAAAGAAAACGTAATCGACATCTTATTGCTTAATGATTTGTTTATGAATGTCATTGAAAGGTTAATGAAAGTCACTAGGGGAGTTCGACACTGTCGGGCGTATCTAGTACCTACAGAAGAAGAAAAGGTGAGGTTTCAAAATACCCTAAGATTGATCAGAGTTAGAATTTAATATCGTCCACCTGAGCTACAAATCTTCTTCACCATTCAACTGCTTCATTTTACTCATTTCCGTGGGACATATAAAGGATATCCCATGAGTGATATCTTGAATTATTTTCCTCAGAAGTATAATTCTACATTTCTTACTGGAGGACAGCTCACGAATATGATCAGTTTATTTTACTGAATATTTTTATGGTCTAAAAAGTTCTCGTTTACTCTATGGCTTGTTCAAATCAAGGAAACAGATTAAGGTGGTTTAATTATTATTCCTCTTGAAGATAAATTAATCATCTATAATCCTCAAAAATTCATGAGATAAAAAGTAATTTAAAATTTTAAGTTTTCCAATTTTTTTGATCCATTTACCGTTCAACCCATCTCCACTCAATCAAGATTTCATTAGTTTTTTTCTTGTCCATCAGAAATAAAAAATTTGGTCATAATGTTATAGACTACTTGTTAGTAGGTAAACTTTTTCATATGAAATAAAATAAGATAAAAAGGTGGTGGTGGCCTAACAATGATTGATTGATGATTTCAAATGTGTAAAAACACAAACCTCCAAATCTCTGCCCGAAAATATCGTGACAGTGCTCACTAGTGACTAGCTTCGTGAGTAAATTCTCGGAGTTCTAGTTGAGAAGACGTGACTAATGGAGTTCAACCCTGTCGGGTGTAGGCAGTAACTAGCAAAGACAAATGGGTGAGGTCGCGTAAAATCTCTAGATCAGAGTTATACATTAACACCGTTGGATGCCGGCCCAGTGGTCCGATGGTTAGGCGTTCGCGCGCAATACCGAAGGTCCCGGGTTCGAATCCTGTGAGGTGCAGGAGTTGTGGATGCGTACTGCTGATGAGTCCCATACCATGACGAAACGGCCGTCCAGTGCTTCCGGGTTTCTAATAGTGGTTTAACAATGATTGTTTGATGATTTCAAATGTGAAAAAACAAACCTCCAAAACTCTGCCCGAAAATAAACAGGAATTGCCGTATCCGAATTTTTTTAGGATATAGTGATGAAGCATATTTACATAGTATCCTGTGAAGTCAAAAACGCGGATGCAAAGAATTTCTCTACGTTATCTTCACATCATCAAATTTGACCAGCATCTGTGCCGCGTAAGTTTTAAATCAGTTATCGATTACAAACTATTTCACCTATTCCAGATCTATGATCTGAAATGAACAGTGAAAATGACAACAAGAAATGCCGTAAATTACGTACATTTGTTACAACTATATCAATCAGTAAATCAACACCAACATAGAACTTCGCACGTAAGTACATCAGTTCAAGTTGCCATACCACATCAACATGGAGATGTAATTGTTATTTCAAATCCCATAATTGAAGAAATAGTAAAGGTATTAGAAGTAATCGGAGAGATTAGGGTTCGAAGATATCAGTTAAGAATTAGAATCCAGGGAAATAAACTTAAAAAGAAGAAGATAAAGTGATGAAGAAATCGGAAGTTGAGGATTTGAGAGAACACAAAGAATAAATGCACCTGCGTTATCGCAAACGGTTTTGAGACATGTCAGTCAGGTTCTCTAAGCATCAATTATTATCATCTCACGGACCCCAACCAGGTAGTCGACAACTACCAATATGACTCAAACCACTTGTCAATGACTTCATGGATTCCTGCCATCTTTTAGTTTGGCCTCCCATAGCTTATTTCCAACCAACTCGTTCACCAAAAAATGTAGAACAACGAGGCAGTCGGTGGTTAGGCATACGCAACACATGTTCCAACCACCTCAACTGATGAAGTTTTAATACTTCACCTATTGACCTGCCATCCTTACCTAGAACTCGTTTCCTAACGACAGCATTGCTTACCCAGTTATACCACAGTACACGAGCTTTGCAGACACCTACGATCGAAAACAAGCAACCTACCAATATCTTCTACTATTACCGGCCATATTTCGCAGACATAAAGTAGGATGGAGCGAACTACCGCTCAGTACACTCATCCTTTGGTCAGCAAACGGGTATCTTGCTTTCGCCATAAGTGACGCAGGTTGGCAAAAGCCAATCGAGCCTTTTGTATCCGAGCTGAGATTTTGTCAGTCATCAGGCCATCAGCACTTATGAGACTCCCCAGATAGGTGAAGTGGTCAACACGCCAGACTACTTCACTCCCTATCACTAGTTCAGGTGCCGATGCAAAGCGATCCTGAAGCAACATTTTCCATTTCGACGGGGAGAACCGCATCCCGAACATGCTTGCATTGTTGCTTAGGGTGGTCATGAGACTCTGAATTTTGTCAGCGTCTTCACCGAACAGAACTGTGTCATCAGCATACTCTAAGTCAGCAAGCGTATCTCCTGGTAAAACGTTCACTCCAGAAGAGTCAGACGATAGTAATGTTAATTCTAAAAGCGTGTCTACGACGAAATTAAATAAGGATGAAGAGAGTGGGCAGCACTGACGGACACCACTTGAAATAACTAATTCTGATGACAGTTCGCCATGAGCTCTTACTCGACAAGTGGTATTCGAGTGGAGAGCGTGGATGAGGCTAATGAACTTCTCTGGTACACCTTTTAGTGACAGACTCTACCACAGAACCTCACGATCAACAGAGCCGAGGTCCATAAATATTACTATTGTGGGACGTCTGAATGTGTGTCTTTGTTCTAGGACCTGACGTTGTGTGAATATTTGGTCTATGCATCCACTTCCAGGTCTGAAACCAGTTTGGTTTTTTCTCCATTCTGCTCTGCACGAGCTTCCGTTAAGCGTCAGAGTATTATTGAGGCCAATATTTTAGTTACTGTATTAGACTTATTCCTCTGTGATTTTCACAAGAAGACTTTTGTCCTTTCTTATAAATTGGGACAATCAGTGATTGAGACAAGTCAGATGGTTTTACGTCCAGTTCCAAGGTTCTACCTTAGACCACAGTCAATCCTTAAAAATCTCAGGCATCAGTCTATCAGGACCCGCTGCCGTCCCTCGCTTTAGATTTCCTGTAGCTTTCTCAACTTCATAGAAATTCGGAAGACTTACATCGATTTGCCATTCAGGCTGAAGGCAAGCTGAACTGATCCCTAAAGTTTTCCGCCCATCGATCCAATCTTCTGGATTGAGAATGAATAATAAGACCATCCTTTTCTGACATAATTTCACCTGCAGTCAAATTCCTTATCCAAGGTTCCTTGACGAGTCTGAATAGTTTCCTACTGTCGCTTATCGCCGTTGCCTTTTCTATCTCCCTTGCTTTCGCTACCCACCACTGTTCGTGATCATTGCGTAGGCTTATGATCAGCCTGCGCGTAATCTGACTCCGCTTTTCATCGAACTCAGAGCCAGGTGGAATAAGTTTTCGATCATCTATCTATCTATATGACAATACGAAATGACATTTCCCTATACACTATAATGCTGTTATATTTCTGATCAACTACAACGTTCAAGCGTTACAATGCTGACTAAATTCACATTAAAAAACTATCTTACAATAGTCACTCATCCAATTAGTTTAATATTTACATTCAGTTTTGAAGCAAATTTGTAGTGATAGTGTATTACTGAATGTTAATTAGATTTATTTAGACTAAAAATATTCTAAAATGTTTTGAGCACTAATCTAGAGAATTATCCACTTCGATCAATAAATTTCATAACAGTTCAATTGAAAATCAGTCAACTATCTTTTTAATAACTGATTACATATCTGTGGAATTCAATTATTAATTTATTTTAACCATGTTTCGGTGTTGTGATCAATGTATTTTCTTCTATGGTATTGTTCTCTTTCAACTAACTATTCCACAAATCTGTGCACCGCCTACAATATCGAATCCTACATATCAAAGTTACTCAAGTGACGACAATGATCAATGGCAAGAAGTTCCAGAACCAACAATCAGTATATTTGATGCAGTAAGAAATCAAACACCAACTTATCCAAATAAAGTTACAAATTTATTTGGCACAAATTCAGCTTTTAATAATAAAGGATATAGAGTAATTCGTTCCGCCGATTTGTCTACACTATATGTTGTACCAACAAGAACAGCACAACAAATATACCCAGTGGAAACTGAACTAGAAGATGAGGAATTAAAAAGATTGATCAATCGAATGAATGGATTTGAGTCTAGATCAAATGAATATCCTTCACCTGGTCAAACTATGTGGACTACTCAATCGTATACAGGTTGGTCTGAGCCAGTTCGCCCACATCCCATGCAGTTTCAACAGACTTCACCACCACAAAGTCGTTTTCCGCCTCCAGCTTACATGACATCTATTCAATATCAAAATGGAAGGAATTCGCTTCCACCTACTTATTCAAATACTTTCATGATACAACGAACAAACCTTCCTTCACCAAGATCTAGATTCGGGTCACCGGTAGATATGAGTCAACAAAACAGATTTGCTAGATTCCAACTTAATCAACCATCATCAATATATAATCCAAAAATGCTTATGAGACAACCTTATGATCCATTTAGAAGACCAATATTTGGTGAATACTTGATTCCAAACAATAGACCGTTAAATAAAGACAATTTTCAAGGGTACAGACCAGCAGCTACATTATTAAGAAGCAATATAAATTATCCAACTTTTATAAGAAACACAAATCCATATAACAGAACAGGAAGGTTACTTTTTAACCAGTAAGTATTGTACATGAATCCTAAAAAAATGAAACATAACTCAAACTAATGAAGAGATGATGTATTGATTAGTATGTACTGAGATATTATTTAACTTGATCATTTCAAGCATTGTTCAACTTTCAATAAAATTGTCATAACATAGTTTTGTTTAATTCTGTGTATTTTATGCTTATTTTGAGAAGTTGAGTGTGATTATTTGCATTTGTGTCGTTAACGTAGCTTCCTTTGATAAATAAAGAACTGGATTTAATCTTAAGCTGTAGAATTATTGTACACTTGACATCATTTCATAGTAGTTCCATGATGAATAAGAATATCCCGGTGAATGTATTGTGAAGTATTTATCATATAATTTTGTTCAATTGTAGTCTTTGTACAATAGCAGACAGACAGACAGATACAACGCAGAACTTCGTACATAAGTACATCAGTTCAGGTTGCCATGCCACATCAGCACAGAGACGCAACTGTCAGTTCAAATCCAACAGTGATAGCAATAATAGAACTATTAGCAGTAATGTAGAAGATTAGGGAGCGAAGATATGATTCGAGAAGTATAATTCAGTGAGATAAATTTAGAAGGAGAAAGATAGAGATTACGAGGAATGCAGGAGCTTAGAATTTCATAGAACACAAAGAGTGGATGCACCTGCGCCATTGCAAACGATTCTGAGCCATGTTGTTCAAGGTCTCTAACCATTGGTGACTATCGTCTCGCGGACCTCGACCAGGTAGTCTACGTCTACTAACATGACTCAGTCCACTTGTCAGTGACTTCATAGATTTGTACCACGTTTTGGTTTGGCCGCCCCTAGCTTTCGTCCAACCTACTCCTACACCACAAAACATAGCTCTTTGAGGCAGTCGGTGGTTAGACATTCATAACACATGTCCTAACCACCTTAACTGATGAAGTTTCACTACTTCATCTATTGATTTGCCACATTAGGTATTAAGAAGTATGAGCAGTAATCGGAGAGATTAGGGTTCGAAGATATAATTAAAGCGTTATAAACAAGCAACAGCATTACTTAATCAGTGGTCTCAGGTTATACGATCAATGCTTCGGAGACACATAATCAAATACTAATAACCTACGAATATCTTCTACTCTCACTGGCCATATTTCACAGCCATAAAGTAAGACAGAGCAATCTGCTGCACAGTACATTCGTCCTTTAGTCAGCAAACGGCTATCTCGCCTGCGCCATAGGTGACGCAAGCTGGCAAAAGCAAATCGAGCCTTCAGTATCCGTGCTGAGATTTCGTCCATCACCAGACCATCAGCATTGATGAAACTCCCAAGATAAGTGAAGCGGTCTACACGTTCGACTACTTCACTCCCTATCACTAGTTCAGATGCCGATTCAACCCAGTCTTGAAGTAACATTTTGCATTTTGAGGGTGAGAACCGTACAATAGCAGACATCATAACAAGGTAATCCGTCAAACCAGTCCACTAAACATGTAGGTCAATACATTTATTTAGAAATTCGTAAAAAATGCACCTAATCTGAAACGTCACTAATGAATTAGTCATCTAGAGAATTTCGCTAATGATAGGATTGAATAAATTGCTATAAAATGAAAAATCTTATAATAAAGTTGTACTTCGCATTATAATTCAAACTTAAAGAGCAATTTCAACACCAACCTTAGAAACTTTAGAAAGTTAAGTAAAATTAAAAATATTTTTTCAGGCATTGGTCTCTAAACAGAAGGTTTATTAGTCGGCTTGAAAAACGCAGATGATATAGTCCTATTTGATAATGACATTGACTTTATTCAATTACTTTGAGTAACGATTCAAGTATGTTTAATGTTGAGATCTCTGCGTCTTAATCCAGAATATTACTTCGAGAATCGTTCGCATTATCTTCAAGAATAATGATATACAATGATTTAGTTGAATGAGTTAGGCGTTTTGTTTATCTTGGAAGACCCATGAGTTATAGTTGGTTAATATCTGACGAAATTTCAGTACGGACTCAACAGAACCATTTGGCTTTCATCAACTTGTATCACTTGTGTGGTAGGTGAGATATGTGTTAGACAACTCAAGTACAAGTTCGGTATTCAATAGTCCTTTCTCATTACCCAACGGTTATGAAACATCGAATTTGAAAATAGACGACATTATTTAGCTTCAGAAACCGATCATAAGTATCTTTGGAGCATTTGTGACGTATTATAAAACGACCAAGAGATCAGTTTTTAGATTAGGCAGGAGGTACTGAGAGAAGGATACTAAATAGGAATTTTTAAACTGTTTAAATGTTGTAATTCTATGTACTGCATGATAAAGGTTTATGAATTTGATACAATAAAAGTTAAGTGAATACAAATTTAGGAATAAATCTTATCAGAAATTCATACTAATATTTCTAGTTATCAGTTCCAATTAATAATCAGAAATGACATACGAGTTGGAAGTAAATGAGTAGTGTTAAGATTATTAAATAAAAATTTTTTTAAAGAAGATACATTTTGAAGATAAACACTTTTCATATAGGGTTCGAATCCTGCGGGGTGCAGGAGTCGTGGATGCGCACTACTGAGGAGTCCCATACCAGGACGAAACGGCCGTCCAGTGCTTCCAGGTTTCTAATGGTGGTCTAACATGGATCGATTCATGGTTTCAAAAATTGTGTAACTTTTCATATAGAGATAAAATAGCGTTCGAACTAGCTGTTTCTACATTTTGGATTGTGGCAGTGGCAGGTAATGGTTCTCAACTGTTACCTAACTTTACTTAATTAAGCTTGTTACCTCTAATACAGCACCGGTCACTGACCAGCAGTCTCCAGATAAATCTATCTTGAATCTTCTTTCCAGTTTGACTCAATCGCTGTTGATTCATTTAATGTCTATTCCTCCGAATCTTGGTGCAGTGTTTCTGGGTCTACCACTTCTTCAATAGCCGAGAGGCTTCTGAGTGAGGGCTTGCCTTGTGACGTAGTTCGGTGTTTTCTTCAATGTTTGTCATATCCGCCTCTGGCGCTACTTCCTTAATTCCTCCTCAGTTGGATTCTGGTTTGTCCACTGTCGTGGTAAATTGTTGCAGTTGGTGTCTGCTCAACGGACGCGCAGTCTCGTGAGTAGGCATCTGTTAATAAAAACATGTATCTTGTGGATAGCGGCTTTCGTGGTTCTCCAACTTTTCGTTCCATACAATAGAACTGTCTTCACATTTGTATTGGAAATTCTGACTTTTGTGTTCATCCTCAGTATTTTTGAGTTGCAGATGTTATTCAATTGTAGAAATGCTGTGTTTGCTTTTACAATCCATGTCTTCACATCTGCATCTGCTCAGCCTTGTTTACCACTGATGTGCCCAGATATGTATCTTCCAGAGCTTCCCCATAAAGTGTGATTTGTTTGATACATTCTGTGTTGTATTGAAGAATCTTGCTTTCTCCCTTATGCTTGTTGAGACCTACTGCTGAGGCTGCTGCTTCATTGTTCGTCTTACCCTTACATTTGTAGTTGCTAGTTGAATTTTTAAGAACCAGATCATTTATAAAATCTAGATCTTCCAGCTTCATCCTAGTTTTTCACTGTATCCTGTGCTTCCCTCCAGATATTGACTTCTTCATAATCCTGTCAAATACTAGGAGAAATAGGAAGGGTGAGGGTAAGCAACCTTGTATGACACTAGAGCTGCTTTGTGAGCTGTCCTTACATTGTTGTAATCCTAATGACAAAAATTCACATCAATTCAAACAGCCAAATCACATATCTCTACCAGTACACTGATAATACAATCTGAAATTATTTCTGGCATATTATTTATCTATCAACTGTTAAATATTCTACCGTTATGTAATAAATTAAACAATGTGGACTAAGCAAACGACGATAGAAGTATTTTGGTCCACATCAATTCCTCAACTGATAATTAATGCTATGAAGAAAACTAACCTAAAATTTTTATCTTCAAGAGCTTCACAACAAACAAATAATTTAGGCGATGCATTTGCATAACGAATTAGCAAATCACGACATTATACAATCAAATTTTTAAATAAATTGTAGTGTCTTTCGAGTACACATAGCTTGAGCCAGTCTTTTGGACAAACTAATTCATTCATTCTTATCAAGTCATTCGCACGCCATTGGTTGTTCTTACATGAGTACGTATGTGCATACTTATTGCGCTGAATACATGTCTAGCCTATGATTGTATGGCTATAAATACTTAGTCATGCTACATTGTACTGAGTTGGCTCGCAGTCAGTCAGTCAGTCAGTTGCAACGTAGAACTTCGTACGGATGTACATAAGTTCATGTTGCCATACTACATTAGCACATACAGATGCAAATGTCAAATAAAATCCCATAGTGATAAAGATAGTAGAGGTATTAATGGTAATGAAGAAGACTAGGGTTTGAAGATATTATTCAAGAAGTATAATTCAGTGAGATAAGGTTAGAAAGCCAAAGACAGAGAAAGTGCTGACGAATCCAGAAGATTAGGATTTTACAGAGCACAACGAATGGATGCACTTGCGCCATTGCAAACGATTTTGAGCCATGTCGTTCAAGGTCTCTAACCATTGGTGACTTTCGTTTCGCAGACCCCAACCAGGTAGTCTCCATCAACTAACATGACTCAGTCCACTTGTCAATGACTTCGTGGATTGCTGCCATGTTTTGGTCCGGCCGCTCCTAGCTTTCTTCCAATCTACTCCTACACTACAAAACAAAGCTCATCGAGGCAGTCGGTGGTTAAGCATTCGTAACACATGTTCCAACCATCTCAACTGATGAAGTTTCAATACTTCTCCTTGTTGACTTCATTTCTCCCAGTTTGTACACTTTTCATTCTCAGATCGTTCTGCTTGAATGAAGCCCTAAATTAAACTCATCCGCAAAACCATATTTGGCTTTTTATTGCCTCAAATGGGGTTCACCTAAGTACTGAAATTGAAAAGCGGATTTATTCGATAACATACTCAACCATTCGTACATGTGAGATTCAGACAGTGGGCCAATAAATTGATGAGCTCCACTTCGAATTTAACGCAGCCACAAAGAAAATTCTGATATGTACTAACGATCGATTATTAGGTTAGTAGTACCGTACTTTTATTAACTTGGCACACGTGCACTCACACACACACACACACATAGTAGAAAAAAACCAGTTCAATAGCTTCTTCACTTTTCTTTAACAAAAAAATGAAATCATAACAGTTTCTTTTCTATTGGATATAAGTTTTACATATATAAATCAAATCATCAGTATTTGGCATTCATTGTATTTTGGTTTTTGTGTTTTAAAACTTGTTGATCAATGTTTCAATCTTTCTGAAAGCAGGATTAAATAGTGTTAACAGAAAAAACAAATGGTTCTATCATGATTTTAAATGATCAAAAAGCATTTTGTATTCAATAGAAAAACAATAATGACAAGATGATAATATATAGAATCATGAAGGAATAATAGAATGAAGTGAACATTTTCGTTTGGTTTCAAACAAATTATTGAATATAAACAATTAGTTATTGGATTATTAGGAATGGGCATGATATTATCGTGTAAGTAAAATTGATTATTGAATGAAATTGAGTTTATTGTATACATTTATTTTCAAATAAAACCAGTGAAATTGAACATTGAATTTTGTTTGAAAAGTGAATTTTTCCATTATTCTATTTTAATCTTTTTTATAAGAGTGTTGTTATGTAATCTCAATTGTTAAAATTGTATTAAAATTGTTAATTTTGTTCAGTGATGTGTAATGTGAACATGAATCTCTATGGACTGAATTTTTTTTATCATATCTGACATAATAACAAGATATTTTGACTATTCTATCGGAAATGATAATCTCTGTAGATTTTGAATAGAAACGAAAATGCAAGAAAATACTTCATCAGTTATTTCTGGCTATCACATATCTGAACATTGTTTGGTGAATTGTTTACTCATTTAGACTAGTTAGTAGTATATTGAGTTCTATTAACACTTAAGATTACGCAACGAGATATTGATAGCTATGAATCGAGTAATTAGAAATATATAATAACCAATAAACACTGAGGTCAACAGAACAAGCTACGAGTCATACGTGGAGAATACTTTGAATACTTCACTTCTTCTCCACATGAAGTTTGTGCTGATGATGTTGTTCAGAAGAACTACAATGAAAGCGGCACAACCAAAATATTTAACTCACAGAACGAAACTCCACCACAATCATCCCCTGAGCTAAAAATTTTCTCTACCATCTCAACATACTAACTACTATTATTCTGTATTATACTTAATTTTCTGAAAAACATATATACGGTAAAATATGCTTGGTTAACCGACAAGTCCGCTGCACATGCACATCGCCGCGATTTAGGCAACACAAGGATTTTCACTGTCGCCAGCAGTAATCACCCCTGCCCCAATCGGGAACATACATGTTGTCCAGTTTGGTCTGCAAGCAGGTCGGACGTTCAAAAAGCACGCATACGAACAATGTGCCCCGTTCGGGCACTTATGAATCAACAAGATCCTTCCAACCAATCCACTACCCACAATCCCCATTCGGCAAGGGCGGCAAGGTGGGCTTTCCCAGCTAGACCTGTCGCCCCGAATGGATTACCGAGCCACCCAGCAGTGCACTAACTAGCAGCCATTCCAACCGTCTAGCCTCCAAATGCCTTGCGCTGATACAATCGACTGGAGCCCTGAGACCCAACATGAAGCTAAAGATCAAGTTTGTCCCACAAGGTCAGCCGGAACGTACACCCTTCTATGGAGAAGATGTCATGGACTCAACCAAGTGCAAGCGCTCGGCCAAGCAGGGTTAATCCCACGGAAGTCGGCAGACATCATTGGCGTCCAGTATTCTTTAGCACCGGATCGCATAACCCAACTGGAGACCCTTGTTTAAGGGGCCTCGACGCCAATTTACACAATACACCGAAATGCAGAGTGTTTGGGACAACCGCATAGGGTCGGCGTCAATAGTCCAGGATCTCCACGGCTGCTTCCCCAAACAGAACGTCTAAGGCCGCCTTCAATCACCCTGGAAAGCTACATCTCTTTCAAGGTATTTGCTACTACATCCTTGAGACCATGAACACGTACCATTATTCTGGACCATGCTAGGCACGATATCCTAAGCATTCGGAACGGCTTTTAGTGGCAACGCTGTAAACAACGACACGTTGCCTGGCAGGACCAGGAAGAGGTAGCCGCCACCACAACCCTCAGAAGGCTCCATTTATGCGCGTCACCTTATATACCCATTCAATTAGATGACGAGGCATTTGGCTACCTTAAGAGAGTCATAGTTACGCCCGATTAATCAACATACTCCTATTATCTCGTTGTTAGCCCTATTCAATTAGTGAAAATTTAAGCGTTCCGCAATTTAAGTAGTGACTAGTTTTTTCTCTTATACAACACTATGTATCACAATATTTTTTATTCTATCCAGTAATGGAATCGACTCTCCCTGGAGCCCCTTTAGGGTTACTGCCGGTTCCAAGCTCTGATAAAGGAGAAGGGTCAAGCATAGGATAATCCACTCGGTCTCGTAGAAAACCAACTCACTAAAAAAAATCGTCAACCATAAAAATTAATTCAAACCATTTAAACTCTGCCCCACAGAGTTAGAAAGTGTTCATTTAGAAGGCTTATGACGTCTCATGATGAAAGTCGAGTTCCTTTGGAAGTCACGAGGCCGATGCCCCTTCGGACACACAGAGCAACCATTAATAGAGGTGCATGGAAAAATCTAGGTAGGAATAAAATTTGAATTTGGTAAAGTAATGCATACATTACAAGTGAATAAAACGTCTGTACCCAGAAAACCAGCGATGAGTAAATAATATGCTAATTCCTAAAATTAGCTATCATTGTTTCTTGTACTTTTATTGATAATCAAGAACTTCTAACTGTTTATATCAGAAGATTATTTAATTTTCTTTTAAACAGTACATAAAATAGTACAGATAGAAAAGTATGCACTAAAATTGTCTCTTTTTTTATGTTTCAACTTTACATATTCTACTAACTAACCCTAGGCTCAATGCACAAATTATTGATTAGAAAATCGATAGAGAAGACTATCGATTAGTGTTATATTGTATCATTTTGTTAGTCTCTCTCTCTCTACTTGATATAAGATCTATATTCAAAATTATTCATGGAAAGAATAATGTGTTAAGAAGTGTATCATAAGTGAATAATGTTTAAAATATCAATAATCAGTTATAAATTTGTAAATGTATTCACAATTATGTAACCGATTTGACATTTTACTATTAACTTGTGTACTCAACAAAAATAAAAAACGAACTTGTGTAGATTTCTTTCATAAATCTAGGTTTCGCTAATGATCGAATATAAACTTGTTTTAACTAAGTAATTTGTAGAAAACGAGTCAAAATAATGTAATCTCACTGATTAAAGTGAATGAATAATGTTATTTTTCTGCACAGAATTCGGGAGATGTCTGTGTTTCATTGATTCGATAAACTTCTGAGTTCTGGTGAGAAGTTGTGACTAGTGAAGTTCAACTCTGTCGGGTGTGAAGCAGTGCCGCGCAAGACCATGGCTTGATCGAACTTAGACATTAACACCGTTTGCTTCCCGCTCGCTGGTCTAGAAGTTAAACGTTCTTATTCGAGAGTGAAGGTCCCGCGTTCGATTCTCGGGTGTTGGAGTTGTTATTATGCACTACTGACGAGTCCTATACTAGGACGAAACGGCCAGTTTTCAGTTCTTCCAGGTTTTTAATGGTGCTGTAACACTGATCGATTCATGACTTCAAAAAGCATTCTGCCTAAGGTTTCAGAATTCTAGAAGTTCATTAGTTAGGCTTCCAGACATCTTGGATTACTTAAACTCATTTGTCCAACTTTGTAGTTTAAGATATTGTTACTGAAATGTTATTCGTAAACAACATTGTTCGAATTACATTGATATTAAATCTGAAGCAGCACGATGTGTTACACTACTGTATAGTGAATACATAGATGACAACAGCTCAACAATTACTTTAGAAAAGATTATGTATAATTTTGTTAGTCCACAGAAGCATATTAAATACGATTGCACTGACGAAATTCATAAAAAACCCTACATCGCAATTTGATTGAATGACTTTATTTGCTGTCAGTCAGTTGCAACGTAGAACTTCGTAGGTATGTACATAAGTTCAGGTTGCCATACCAATCAAATCCCATAGTGATAGTAGAGATAGTAGATGTATTAATGGTAATGGAGAAGACTAGGGTTTGAAGATATTATTCAAGAAGTATAATTCAGTGAGATAAGGTTAGAAAGCCAAAGACAGAGAAAGTGCTGACGAATCCAGAAGATTAGGATTTTACAGAGCACAACGAATGGATGCACTTGCGCCATTGCAAACGATTTTGAGCCATGTCGTTCAAGGTCTCTAATCATTGGTGACTTTCGTTTCGCAGACCCCAACCAGGTAGTCTGCATCTACCAACATGACCCAGTCCGCTTGTTTGTGACTTTATGGATTTTTGCCATGTTTTGGTCTGGCTGCCCCTAACTTTCTTCCAACCTACTCCTACACCACAAAACATAGCTCGTCGAGGCAGTCGGTGGAGTTATTATCCTAATGAAATTAAGAGGTATATTAGTCTGATTTATCCATGATGAAATATATCAAAGAACTTCCGAATGCCAAAGGAAAATGCTGTTCAGTAAATTAATCCTCTAGTTGGCTGATAGATATCTCATCTGCCATATAAGTGATACAAGTTAATGAAAGTCAAATAATCCTTTGGATTCCGCATTGAAATTTCGTCAGACACTGACTCACTATGACTGATTGGCCTTCCAAGATAAATGAAATGTTTAACGCATTCATCTAACTCACCATTTATGATCAACCTTGGTGATGATACGAACCAGATGTGAAGCAATATTCTGAGTCCGAATATGCATACATAATTCCTTAGCATGATCAGAAAATTCTAGATTTTGTCAGGGGCTCTGCCAAACAGGATAATCTCATTTACGTTTTCCAAGTCAATAAATGGATTTTTGGAGAGGAGGTTAAATCCTGAAATGTCATCTAATAGGAGAATTATTTCTAAAAGCATTTCCACAACAAATTTAAATAAAAATAGTGTAAGTGGTTCGTCGCAATGACAGCAACTCGAGGTTGGTAATTCTGATAACACTAATCCATAAGCTCTACGTTGACAAGCAGTGTTCTCGTAGGATGCCTATACAAAAATAGTATACTTCATCGTTGGGTCTTTTAATGACATCTACTTCCATAGAACCTCTCGATCAGTATATTAAAATAGAACTAATTATAAATAACGATTAGTTCAGTGATATTTTAATAAAACTGTTCTCTGGAAGCTTCATCATTGTTAACTTCAGTTAATTATCGATTTTGATCTTATCTTAGCTTTACTGAAGAGAGAAACTTACCTGCATTTCTGATTGATTTTGCTAATCTGACAGTTATTATCAGAGGAAATAATGTTTATTATTTAAAATACCGTTTTGACTCCATTACTCAGTCTTCTTCTTGTAACTTGTAATAATC